TCACACGGCACCATATTTTTTTTGTCGGTCATGGGGCTTGAACTCTGGGCCTGGATGCTGTCCCTGAGCTCTTCAGCTCAAGGTGAGTGCTCTATCACTTCAGCCACAGTGCCAGTTCTGGTTTTCTGGTGATTAATTGGAGATAAGAGTCACATCGACTTTCCTGCCTGGGCTGGCTTTGAACCATGATCCTCAGATCTCAGCCTCCTGAGTAGCTAGGATTACAGGCGTGAGCCACCAGCACCTGGCAATGGTAATTTTATTTACTTTATTTACTTTATTTTTTGTTTATGTGGTACCAGGAATCAAACTCAGAGCGTCATGCATGCTAAGCAAGCACTCTTCCACTAAGCCACATTCCCAGAGCACCAATTAGTGTAGTGAAATTCAACTAGAACGCAGGATGGAGGAACCAGGGGCTCTACATGGATGACTGGAGGGCTAGAGTTGAATTCCTATAGTTTTAAGATCAAGGAGATGTTAAAAGTTTGGAGGTAGTTGGTGGTGATGGTTAGTCAACTCTCTGATGTAGCTAATATCTGAACTCCATATTTAAAAATGAAGAGTTAAAAGCTGGGAGCAGGTGGCTCACATCTATAATCCTAGCTACTCAGGAGGCTGAAATCTGAGGATCATGATTCAAAGCCAGCCCGGTCAGGAAAGTCCGTGAGACTCTTATCTCCAATAAACCACCAAAAAAACGGAAGTGGCGCTGTGGCTCAAGTGGTAGAGCACTTGTCTTGAGCTGAAGAGCTGAGGGACAGTGCCCAGGCCCAGAGTTCAAGCACCACGACCAACAACAACAAAAAAAAGTAGAGTTAAAAGTATTATGTTATATGTGTGTGTGTGTGTGTGTGTGTGTGTGTGTGTGTGTGTGTGTGTGTGTGTGTGTATAAAATGTATATATTGCTACTCAAGAAGCTTAAAAATTGTATGCCATTTCAGGGGATTGAACTCGCCCATCTGTTCTTACTTGGATTTTTTGCTCAAGGATGGTGTCCTACAACCTGAGCCTCACCTCCACCACCAGCTTTTTGCTGGTTAAGTGAAGACTCTCACAATGTTTTCTGCCCACACTGGTTTTGAACTATGATCCTCATATTTCAGCCTTCTGAGTAGCTACCATTAGAGTCATAAGCCACTGGCACCTGGCTCATTTAGAAAATATTAATATATATGTATATATTTTATATATTGTATTATATATACTTATATATTACTGTATTTATAGACGTACATATACACACATATACATAATACTCGGCAGCATCCAGGAACACAGTAGGTGCTTAATAAGTGGTTGAGCCTGGTGCTATGAAAAAGGGCCTTTAGAGGTAGTGTCTACCCATCACCTGTATTTCACCAAGGAAACCAAACCCCAGAGAAAGACAGTGACATGCTCAGGGTCAGACTATAGAACCAAGGACCCTGGGTCCCAGCCTGGATCCCAAATGTCCCCTTTGCTGGTTCATTCACACTGCTGGCAGGTGGAAGGCACAGTTTGCTTGGTGCAGAATGGAAAGGCTTGGTGCTGATACTCTAGGTGCACAGGCTCAGTTTGGGTCTCCAGCAAATGCAGAAGGCATTCCACAGTCTCCCCACCTTTCTTCCACTTCCCCAATTCACGTGGAGCTTGGAAGTTGAGTGCCTAGGGACACGAGGCTAGGAAAGCTACTTTCTTGCCACCACAAGGGCTCCTGAGAAGACCCAAGACTGCCCCTCCCCACAGGAGGCAGACAGGATAAAGGGAAAATACCAGAACATACCAGAACCCAGGACCTCCAGATGGAGTCTGTCACATTCCCTCCACAGATGTGGCCTTTGTGCTCATTCCTCTGTGGAGAGCTAAAGCAGCTCTGGGGCTTGAACTCAGGTCCTTGGAACTCTCCCTGAGCTTTTCTTTTCAGGGCTAGCTAGTACTACCACGTGAGCCACTGCTCCACTTCTAGTGTTTGGGGTTTTTGTTGTTGTTGTTGATGTTGTTTTGTACTGGTTAATTGGAAAGCAGTCTTACAGATTTTCTTGCCTGGGCTGGCTTTGAACCACAATACTCACATCTCAGCCTCCTAAGTAGCTAGGATTAAGCAACCTGCTTAAAACACATCTTTTGCTCAAAGCAGAAGATGGCTGTTTCTTCCACTTGTTCCAAAAGCCTTGGGCCAGTTACAGCCCACTAGAAGAGTCGTCTGAAGGTCAGAAGATGAGAGAAAATCACAAGCTTTCAACTTGGCTAGAGCCAATCTGTCAAAGACAGACTTGAGCCAAAAGATACCGATTCACATCACAGAGTGGCCCAAAGCACCACCTAAAACATTCAAAGCTGGCTCTGATCATACTTAGAGCATCTCAAACTAGTTTGGCCTGGTTACCCATGGACCAAGCTGGCTCAAACTAGCGATTAACATCAGAGTGGCCACTACCCAGATCTCCACATGGGCTCAAGTCACACCTGTTTAGTCTGGCTCATGCAACTCTGGAATGTGGTGATGTAGTCCATCCAGATTGCCTTACGTTAGTTTAGACTGGAGGAGACCAACTCTGACCAAATTCAGAGCTGCTCAGATTAGATCTGGCTGATTGCAGAACTAACAGTGATTGATCACTCCAGTTAGGGGCTTCCCTTACATTTTCTCATTTAATCTTCTCAACAGCCCGGTGAGAGGTACATAATTAACCCTCATTTCCAGAGGTAACATAATTTGGATGTTTTGTAGGTATCCCATGGCAGAGCTGGGCTGTTAACTCTCACAGTGAAGGCTAAGGCTCTTTTTCAGCCCATCTCCTCCCTAGGTGAAGAGACCCCTTAGCAACAGGTAGAGCTGGGTTTTTCCAGCTTTTAATGCATCCCTACTGAAGGGGCAAGGAGAAACTCTGAAAGCATTTTAAGCATTTAAACATTTAAACTCCCTGGATGGAAAGCAGTAACGGAATCCATCACCATCATCAGCACAACAGTGTTCATCATTTCTTGTGGATTAATGAGCAACATCTGGATGGGCTCCCTGGCACAGGGTGCAGCTCTGGGACCATTCATTCTCCAAACCAAACTTACTTAAAATGCTTGTTGCCTGAGAAAGGCTCAGGGGAAACAGGCTTATTATTTTTGAGTGAATTTCCAGGGAGAGGAGGGTTATACAATGTCTAGACGAGCCACACTGTGGAGGAAAGGGAACCTGTGCCAAGAACAGAAAGCAGGAGGGGAGTTGCTCCTTACAGGGTCAAAGTACCTTGACTTTGTGGCTCCACTCTTGGCCAGGGCCTTCAAAGTTGCCTTTAGTGCTGGCCTACAGTGGCCTTTGATCTTTCAGGGTTCATGTTCTGAGTGATCATAAACAAGTGACCTTGCTGGGTGCCAGGGCTCACACTTGTCATCCTAGCTATTCAGGAGGATGAGATCTGAGGATCACAGTTTGAAGCCAGCCTGAGCAGAAAAGTGTGTGAGACTCCAATTAACCACAAAGAAGCTGGAAGTGGAGGGATGAGACAAGTGATAGAGTATCAGCCTTAGCAAAAAAAAAAAAAAAATGCTAACAGAAGAGTATCCAGGCTCTGAATTCAAGCTCCAATACTGGCACAGAAGAGAGAAAGAGAGAAAGAGAGAAAAAGAAAAAGGAAGAAAGGAAGAAAGAAAGAAGGGAGAGAGGGAGGGAGGGAGGGAAGGAGGGAGGGAGAGAGAAAAAGAAAGAGAGAAGAGAGAGAAAGAAAGAGAGAAAGGAAAGAGAAAGAAGGAAAGAGAGAGGAGAGAAAAGGAGTGAAAAGGAGAGAGAGAAAGAGAAAGAGAAAAGAAAAAAGAAAGAGAGAAAGGAAGGAAGGAAGGAAGAAGGAGAAAGAGAAAGGGAAAGGAAAGAAGGGACAGAGGGAGGGAGGGAGGGAGGGAGGGAAAAAGGGAGGGAGGGAAGGAGGGAGGACTTTACTGATGAGGCCACAGTTTGTAGGACACTCATGCTTCTCCAGGATGAGGCTCAGGCTAAAGCCAGTCAGTGTATCCAGTGGCCCACTGTCTGTGTGGCTCAGGCCTCCCTCCCCATAGGACCATCACAAGGACCAAGTACATGGGTCAGCCATGTGTTCAGCCCTATAATACTACTCACTTTGCAATGAGCTGGGCCAGAAGGTTGTGGCTGGTCTACCTGGAAGCTTTCCCCATACCAAGCTGTGCCTTAGGAGAATGGTTTCTGGGATGCAGGATCCCAGGCTGAGTTTCAGGGGAGGAGCGTCAAGGAGTCTCTCAGCCTTTTCCTAATGCTGCCCATGTGAACTCTGCCTCTAAAACCCCACAGGTCTTGGGCACCATCCACACCCGCTTGGTAGTTAGGTTGGCTCCCTTCTAGCTCTTTAGAAGTGCCAAGCAAGGCATAGGATGTCCAGATAATTTGAAACTGCAGATAAACAATAGATAACTGTTTTAGTATAAGCCATTGTTTATCTGAAAACTCTCTGTTTATCTGGAATTCAAATTTCACAGGCATCCTGTGCTTTTATTTGCAAAACCCTGGCAGTCCTCAATTGGCATGCTGGTTTGTTCACGGTGGGTAAGCTGGGGGGGGGGGTAGTTTTCATTCTCTGGGTGAGCTGCTTGCTTCAGTGTTCAAATTTCTTGTTAGTCCTTTCGGAGCCTTGCAGCTTATACTCTGCATAGATGCATGTATTCTGATGTCTGTAGTCATATTCATTTTCCTTCTGGGTTTGTGTTTTTCATCTTTGACTGATTCCTATCCTAGACTCCAAGATTCCTGCTCTCTTTTTCCACTACATCTTATTTATTTATTTTTTCTTCATTTTTGTTATTTCGAGTATCTTTGCAAGAGTCTGTTGAGTGGTTCAAAAACAGTCTGCATGGATCAGAGTCCACCCAAGAGACTAGGTCCAGTGGAAATCACTGGTTAAGAACTGAGTTTTTACAAGAGTAGCCCCGTCCTCACAAAGCCCAGGAGCTGGTCTGTGATTGAACTGTGTATGCACTTGCATGCTCATGTGCAGAATGAGCGTCAGGATCTCACCTGCAGAGAACAGAAAGCCTGGGTGTAGGGCGGCATCCGGACAAGGTAGGAAGCAACGATGATGGCTGAAGAATAGTGCGTGCAGTAGTGGCACTGGAAAGTCATGTCTCCTGCAACAAGAGGACAGGACATGGCTGCAGACTGCAGGCAGTGGACAAGCAGGCAGCCCTGTACTTGACAACAGTATTTAACAATTACATTCCCTTAAGTTGAGGCAGTGAGTAGATTTCAAGGAGAACAGGAAAGCAATATGAGTACAGATGGTACTGAACGTGGCAATATGGGAATGAAGATGAGGTACAGATGGACAGCATTTGGGAACTAGGTTCTAGAGCCAGATAAAAATACAAGCTGTGGTTGGGTGCTAGTGGCTCACACCTGTAATCCTAGCTACTCAGGAGGCTGAGATCTGAGGATCAAGGTTTAAAGTTAGCCTGGACTGGAAAGACTCATACCACCCATTAGCCACTAAAAATGTTACAGATGGAGGTGTGACTACAGTAGTAGAGTGCTAGTCTTGAACAAAAAGCTAAAGAACAGTGCCTAAATGTTGAATTCAAGAATTCAAGTCCTAGTACTCCCATCCACACCAACAACCACCCACACACGCACGTGCACATACACACACACACACACACACACACACACACACACACAAACACACACACACACACACACACACGTTGTGCCATTTACAGGCTGAGATGTCGAGAGAGTTGTTTGGACCCTCTGGGTTTCAATTTCTTTCCCTTTGGGTTAGACCACTATCTATATAAACATAAATTGGCCTAGCTGGCATTTAGAAAGTGTTGACCAAATATTAGTTTCCTTTAATTCTGTTTACTCATTGGCAAAGAATAGTAACTATTAACATGATGCCATTCCATCCGTGGGATATTAGAGTCATCCATTCTGGACTATACTCCAGACTTATTTAAAATCAAAATTTCTAGAAGGGTGATATTGATTTCATTAGTGTGCGCATGCATGTGCATGCACATGCACCAGTCTTGGGGTTTGGACTCAGGGCCTGGGTGCTGTCCCTGAGCTTTTGTGCCCAAGGTTAGCACCCTACCACTTGAGCCATAGCTCTTCTTCTGGCTTTTTAGTGTTTAATTAGAGATAAGAATCTTACAAACTTTCCTGCTCAGGCTAGTTTTGAACCAAGCTCCTCAGATCTCAGCCTCCTAAGTAGCTAAGTTTATAGGTGTGAGCCACCAGCACCTGGCTCAATTTCACTAATTTTAAGGTGTTCTTCTAGGTGATTCTCCTATGTATCAAGGTGCTAACCATTGGGCTAGAGAGTTCACTATCCAGCTGTACACACACACACACACACACACACACACACACACACACACACAGACAGAGCTGGGATCTACTTACCATCAGTCTTTTCAACTTCTTTATATCTCTGGATAAACTTCAGCTTCCTTTCCTTGGTCTGAGCTCCCATGGGCTTGGAAAGATCCCGGAAAGTCTTGGGATTTGTGAAGTTCAATGTCTAGAAAACAGATGTGCAGCTGGAGTTAACTCCCCGCAGCCCTCTGGTGCCCCAGGAGTCACGCTCTTTAGTTTTATGATTCTTTTTATTGGTTTATTATCATTTGGTCTGACCCCCCCCTCTGGTGATTAGCTGGCTAGCCAGAGTTTTATGGTCCCAAAGCCAGTGATCCACAAAGACTTAATAGGGGAGAGATGGGAAATGAGAGGAGGGGAAGATTGAGTTCACACTGAACCTGTTCCAAGTTGACCCAAATCAGAACATGACCACCGGTTACTGAAAAGACACTTCCCTACGAATTCCTGTTGCCTCTAAGGCATTTGGCTCCTGCCCTTATGAAATCATTTCCTCTAATAGTTCAAGGTCCCTGCTCAGAACCAAACTGATTTTATAGGAAGCTGGAAGACATCTGTCTTGGGGAAGAAATGAGAGGGACAGCTTCATTTTTCTCTTTTTTCTGTAGGCCCCTTCCCTTCTAGACACTACTGGTGTGTCATACCAGCCCAATCCCTGACCTTAGGGACACCCCATCGTGGGGACAGGAAGATCCTGAAGCCAGATGTCCTCAGAGACTTTGTTGTGTGCCAGTGCTCAGGGTCTGGCACTCTTGTTTAAGGCTGGCACTCGAGTACTTGAGCCATACCTCTACTTCCAGATTTTGGCTGGTTCATTGAAATAAAAGTCTCCTAGATATGTCTGCTCGGTTGGTTTCCAACTGTGATCCTCAGATCTCAGCTTTCTGAGTAGCTAGGATTCTAGATGTAAGCCACTGGTACTCAGGTGAGTTTTTTTTTTTGGAAGCAGAGATGTCTGTATGTTAGTAGAGGTTGATTATTCTTGGGTTTGTGTTTCTTTACAAATCTCTCTTTCAACTAGTGGTGAATCAGCACAGGTCTTCTAAAACTGGGTTGTTACTCCAAATACACACAGCTGCCAGGCAGGGAAAGAGGATGCGACCCATCCTCAGCCCCCAACAGTGAGGGAGGGATGCACAGAGGCCACTCCAGCTTCCGCCTCCAGTCTTGCCGGTCAGCAGACTTGTAGTTGCCACCCCTCCTGTTGTTCCAAAGCATACTGAAACTCCAGGTTTTTAGGCGAAATCTCCCAATTTCTAAACACCAACTCACCACAATTGTAAACACAAGGTATTGGTTAAAAGAAAGAACTTAACAAAATAACCCCCACTTGACACAGATGTGAGTTAACATAGGGTTGTTTGAAAGGTCTTGGCTTTGTGTGACAAAGCCGCATTCTGTGGCTGCTTTTGCTGCATTCATTGTCTTCAGTGGGGATATTCCGGAAGACCAAGTCTCCTTCTCTCAAATCCTGGACTCTGCTATCTAAGTATCTGAGGCAGGATTGGCCAGGCTGCTCTGAGTCTTCAATCCACAACCTTCTATTCTCCACTGACCACAACCCAGGCAGTCAATCCCCTGCTCTGAGCCTAGCTGCCTCTCCGCACAGAAATCCACAAACGTCCCTTTTGTCCAGCTGTGCAGATTCCTTCCTCCTCTTCCCCCCTGCCTGCTGAGGTTCCGGGTGAAGAAAAGAGATAAGAAAGCTGGTCTTGTTATCTATTGCTATGCATCTCGGTCCACATCCTAGAGGGAGCCCACTTAGTCACTTCAATCAAGCTACAAGACCAACCTACATCTCAGTCTGTTTTATTACTCCCTCTCTTCTCTCTATTTACCCATCCCTCCTCTGTATAAGCTGGAACAGGTCTCACAGCCAGTCTTACATGGCTATAGCCCTTCCCCCCCAGGGTGACACCTCAGTAGACAGGCAGCACTTGCCTTCATGGGCAAGAGTGAGCTAGAAAGTCTTCTGGGGTTCACATAAGCCACGCACTAATCTCATTCCACAGGCAGGGCTGGGACTGGAACCCAGGCCCAGCACCTGAGCCTCGGCGTGCTCTTTTGGGATGCTCTGTGATTGGGTTGAGAAAGACTCGGAAGGCCATGGAGTGCTCCTGGCCATGTCTTACCTCTGAGGTGTAGTCAGCCAGAACCCAGGGGAACACTGGGTACTGCATGAAGTCATTGCAGGTCCTGCCAGCCACGGTGTTGAGGTACATGAGGTATTCAAAATTGCTGATTTCCCTTTTCTACCAGAGATACAAAGAAGGGATCTGTCAATCATCTTTGAGAACCCGCTGAGGCCACAGGAACCTAACCCTTAGCCTCAGTGGGAGGCCCTGGCTCAATAGGGAAGTCAGGCAAGTGGCATGTAGGCTATTCCCCACATCCTGTGTTGGAACTAGTGCCAACTCAAGGCAACGTGCACTGACTTCAACATGAACAGAAACAAACCTACTCAGGAAGCTATGAAAATGCAGTTCAGCAACCCAAAATAAAAACATTGTGTTAACACCAATGTGATCCTTGAAAGCCGACTCATATTAGCATAAATGTGGTGATCAACTTACTCTTGACCCTTTTAGAGTTGGAAAAAGTCAGACTAGGTGCAGTGGCTTGAGTCTGTCATTCTAGCTAAAAGAGAGGCCAGCCTGGGTATCAAAGCTGGAGAGACTCATTCTCACTCCATGGCTAGGCATGGTAGGGCATGTCTATTATCTCAGCTAGGAGGAAGTCACAGTAGCTGGACACAGAGGTGTACACCAGTCGAAGGCATGGGGAAGCTCAAATAGGAGGTCATAGCCAGGCCAGCCTGGGCATAAAGTGAGACCCTAACTCAAAGATCACCAAGGCATAAGAAGCAGCTGGAGGTAGAGCTCAAGTGGTAAAATGCCTGCCTAGCAAGCACAAGGCCCTGAACTCAATCCCTAGTGCTGCCAATAGAGGAATAAACAAATAAATTATTAGGGAAACAAGTGGAAGGACATGATGGACACAGAGCAAGGGGCCTCCATGAATGGGCTGGGTGACCCGCCTCACCCTGGGAATTTTCTCTAGCCCTGTCTGGAAGGCCAAGTCTGGCACTTGGGACCACAGGCCTTCAGATGGACAGTCACACACGGATGGCATTTGGGAAACAGTGGCCGAAGCCATGTGTTGAAGGAGCACTCCGGTTGTCATCGGCAACAGGAGACCTGTGTGTTCAGGGTCTCTCCTTCCCTCCATGTGCTCCTCAGGAGAGGACTTGCATGTCAGTGGCAAGCAAGGATGCTGTTACCACATCATCGCCAGGACTACCTCCTGTGGGACCCTCCTCCCTGAGAAGCCTGGACTGCGGTCAGCCATTCAGACTGACTAAAGGACAAGAAGAGATGTGTGTGACTCCCCTATGTGTGTGTGTGTGTGTGTGTGTGTGTGTGTGTGTGTGAGAGAGAGAGAGAGAGAGACAGAGAGAGAGAGAGAGAGAGAGAGAAAGTGCCTCTCTCTTCAAGGATGGGAGGTGCTTAGTGTAAGCACACATATACACATACATAAACCCTTCTGACTCCAATGATCAAGACTCACTGTCTGTGCCTGAGATCTTCTCAGGGAGAGATTTGGGCATTTTGGTACATGAAAATCCTATGTTCCCTTCTTTTTTTTCTTTGGTGTCAGTTCTGAGACTTGAACGCAGGGCCTGGGCACTGTCCCTGAGCTTTCTAGCTCAAGACTAGTACTCTACCACTTGAGTCACAGCTCTACTTCTCACTTTTTAATTTTCATACGTGGGCTGGCTTTGAACGGAAATCAGCCTCCTGAGCAGCTAGGATCACAGGCATAAGCCACCAGCACATGGTTCCCTTCTTAGTTAACTCACACCCATCTTCTCACTGGGACAGAGCTCTTTCCTGGTTAGTACCCGTGCAGGGGGAGGAGCATCGTACCTGCCACCTCTGTAGCATAGTCTTGTCGAAGCTGGAGTGTCTCCTGTGGGACAGAAAATCATGGTGGTGACCGGCCATCACAAGACATGAACATGAAGAGGAGAGGTAGGGATTTCGGGGCCTTGTGGAAAGCATCAGACTTATAGAAGCTCCTGGCAGCCCTTAGGGTCAGTACAGTGAGACCACTGTCCAGATGCTTCTTGTCCTGCCCTGCCCATAAAGACTGGGTTTTTGCAGTCACCATCCCTTATACATAACCCCAGAGCAGGCTGCTGCCTCCAGTTATAAAGATATTCCCTACAGAGGCGGGGGAGGGGAACCTCATTCACAGCCCATGCCAAGTTCTGGTGCCACCTCTCAGCCTTGCCTCCCATGTCCTCATTTCTCATTGAATGTACATATATGATTTTTTGGGGGGGTTCAGTCGTGGGGCCTGAACTCTGGGCCTGGGCACTGTCCCTCAGCTCTTCAGCTCAAGGCTAGCGTTCTACCACTTGAGCCACAGCGCCACTTCTGGCTTTTTTCTTTTTGCTTATGTGAGGCTGAGGAATCGAACCCAGGGCCTCGAGCATGCAAGGCAAGTGCTCTACCACTGAGCCACCTTCCCAGCCCCTACATATATGATTTTTAAAAAAGCAAACATCTGGCTTGGTGTGGTATCATAGACCTATAATCTCAGCTGTCACCGAAAGCTGTAGATAGGATCATGGTCTAAGATCAGCCGATCAAAAAATGTTGTTTTTAATGTACTTATAATGTACTATGTGATTTTTTTTTGTTTCTTTTGTATGTTCTTCCCCCATAGTATAACCCCTGTTTTCACTGTATTTGATTCCAGTGCCCTGCATCTCGTATATACATTTTTCTAATTTGGGGAGGGGAAGGGAAATAACAAAATGCTGAAATAAGGATAAAGGTTGAACCATTGTAACAATGAGATGTACAAGACACTATGCTGAGAACGAACTTTACAACTTGTGGGGGGGAGGGAGGAGTCAGGAGGTGGGGAGGGAAGGGATGGTAGGGGAAAAGCAAAGGGAGGGGTAACAATGCTCGATAGGAAATGTACTGATTACATTACTCATATAACTATAACCCCTCTGTATAGTACCTTTACAATAAAAATATATTTTAAAAAAAGAAAAGAAAAAAGATACTGTCCAGAGGAGTTACAGTTATATGCGTAATGTAATCAGTACATTTCTTATCAAGCATTGTTACCCCTCCCTTTGCTTTTCCCCTACCATCCCTTCCCTCCCCACCTCCTGACTCCTCCCTCCCCCCACAGTATCTTTACAATAAAAAAAAATATTAAAAATGTGAATCTCTATCTAAAAATTAACAAAAGCAAAAGAAAGGGGTGCTGAGGGCACAGTTTAAGTTGTACAGCACCTGCTTAGTGAGTGCCAGGCTCTGGGTTCAAACCCTAATACTATCAAAAAAATAATAATAGCAATAAATAAATATAAATAATACTAATATCATGGAAGGCCACAAACATGAGTCTCCAAGCTGCTGCTTCTACTCAAGTAGCTACAGTTAACAGTTTCTTCTGCTTCTACTCAAGTAACTACAGTTAACAGTCTCTATTGCTAATCTGAAAAAGCTTTAGCTATGTGCCTGCTCCTCAAATGCTTGCACTGTTCCACTCTGGGAATCCTATCATGTGCACAGTTCTATTTCACTTGTTTCACAACCCTCCCAAGAGACCAGCTCACATTGTCCCTCTATGGAGTTTATTTCCACAGCCTCAGGACAGACACCATGGTACAGATGGATCTGCACCTTGAAGAAGGCTTTGTTCTCAGGAAGGATGTTTCTGTGACTACCTTTGAACATAATATCTGAATTATATTTGGATTCAGATAAGACAGACAGACAGATATATTGATTGATTGATTTAGAATCTATTTCATATATAGAAATATAAGATAAATTTCTATCTATGGCGCTACCAGGTTAGGATGTTGGAACACTTTTGCTGAATGAAAGTGGCTCACACCTGTAATCCTAGCTATTCATGAGGCTGACATCTAAGAATCACTGTTGGAAGTCAGCCCAGGCAGAAAAATCTACAAGATTCTTATCTCCAATTAACCAGGAAAAAAAGCTGGACTAGAGGCCTGGTTCAGGTGGGAGATTACCTGCTGTGGCCAGAAAAAGCTGAGCAAGAGTGTGAAGCCCTAAATTCAAGCCTCAGCATGAACATAAACAAAGAGCATTTTCATTTTTGCTATGTATTGTAAAATTATTCTCTTAAAAGGGTATCAATTTATATTTCTATAATGAAGACATACAAGATGAACCATGGGAATTACCATCATATCATTGGGCAATCTGGCAAAACACAATATTGGAGCTAGCTGCTGGTGGCTCATGCCTGTAATCCTCCATAGTTAGGAGACAGATCTGAGGAAGGCAGTTCGATGCCAAGCCCAGGGAAGGAAAGTCCCTAAGACTCTTATCTGCAATTAGCTCTCAAACACCCAGAAGTGGAAGTGTGGATCAAGTGGTTAGAATGCCAGCTTGGCGTGAAAAAGCCAAATGTGAGCATAAGGCCCTGAGTTCAAGTTCTAGTACTGGCACACACATACAAAAAAAATGTTAAGAAGGGCATAAGGAAGAAGCCCTGTCCACCAGAAGTGCCCCTCTGTTCACCAAGATATAGCTCAGTTCTTCAGCCTCCCTGGTGCCCCACATTTCCCTGCCCAGGTGTTTTCTTCCCCGTCTGTCTCCATGAAACTCTACTATCCAAAAGACTGGGCCCAAACCAAACCAAACCACTTCTCCTCCCGCCTATGCTATTTGCCACATCCTATCCAGACCCACTTTCCACATGCTCCTCTGCCATGCCAGGCCTGTCAGGATGCCCCAGGTCTCAGGACAAGCCTGGCTGCTCCAGTCCCCCAATGAGGAGCAACCCATTCACCATCCCAGCACAGTCCCTCCATATATCATCTGTTTGGGGTTCCCTACGCCTCTGCATTCAATTCTTTCCTTGGTAGATTTTTTTCCCATGGACAGAAGGCATCTCCCAAGGTGGGAATCAGATCTTCTTCCTCAATAGAGAAGGTGCCTATTGGGGCCATTTTAGTCCAAGCAAACCACCACCAGAACCACACGCAGAGGCACACCACGGTCAAATTTATTCCACTGGATGCGAAGACTCGAGTGAAGAGTCTTAGTTTTGTCTGTGACCCTGCCACTGCTCCAGTCCTGCAGAGCAGGCTGTCCTATGAACCACGGCAGAGCCTATGCTGGAGACAGTGGGTCGAACCACCTTGAACCTCAAGGACGCTCAAGACTGTCCTATGCCCTCCAGAACCATGAGCATCTGGACATGGCCTGCTGAAATCTTCTAGTCTTGCTAGTCTACAGAAGCAAGAACCGTAAGAAATGTGGCCATTCAGGGTCCAGAGGATGAGAGCCACCCTTGGCTACACTTCCTTCCAAAGAAGGTTCTAGAACTTTGCCTGTGGTCATTTGTGATGTTGAGATCCAGTAGAATGATGTGCAGAAGAAAAAAGTACTTGTCACTCCATTCGTTATAACATCAGCTATGAACACCAAGGAAGGCTCTCAGGTACCAGCAAGGAAAGATACCACCATCAGAGGGGACAAGTGAGTTCTAATTTTTACAGTATTGTTTCTCAACCCCAGTCATCTGAAAGCAATGACAGAGTTCTTAAAATGGTCCACGCAAGTACTGTATACACCTGATGATTAAGTGCTTGACTTTTAAGAGTGGATAACATTATCAATTATGTTTTAGATTGGAGATGTTAGATGTGGCTTTCTGTGTGTGTGAGAGAGAGAGAGAAAAAGAGGATATTGGGGCTTGAACTCAAGATCTGGGTGCTGCCTCTTAGCTTTCTCTCTCAAGGCAGGTGCTCTAAAACTTGAACGACAGTTCCAGTTCCAGTTTTTTTCTGGTTTATGGAGATTAGAGCCTAATGGCCATTCCTGAATTGTCTGGCTTTAAACTACAATCCTCAGATCTCAGCCTCCTGAGTAGCTAGGCATGAGCCACTAGAGGCTGTGCAGAAAACAGATCTGGCATGGCAGTCAAGAAACCCTGTACCCAAATTCAACACCCACCATTTGTCTAGGGGACTTCGAGTTAAGATGTCAGGACCCTGAATTGTGCACGTAACTTTTATATAGAGCGTGGGAGAACAATGATGGTCCTGAGTCGGGGAGAGGAGTGGGCACATATGACTCCAATTGGTGTGATTCTGGCAGAAGCCAGTATCAGGGGTTGGGGATCAGAGGTGACTCTTTTCTATCTGGAAAGCAGAGGAATGTAGACCTGCTCTGATGAAGACCTGTTTCACTCAGCCCAGTTCCCTTCTGAGAGATCTTGAAATAATGGCAGCATGTGTGCTGGAGCACCTTCTCTGTCAGTCCAGTGGACAGCAGTGGGAGGTGCTTCCCAGCTTTTCTGGGGAGTCTTCCCTGAGTTTCAGAATGAAAGTCTGAACCCTTTCACAATTGGAGCTGAGTTCAGAAGAAGACAGGAGCTTCAAGCCATGGAGAACCAAGGAGGTTACCCTGCCTACCATGGATCCCATAGGGAACACAATATCTACACTGGAGAGCCACACGCCTGGCCCACCTGCATACCACCAGCCCCTCTCACACAGGTGATGACAACGAGAAGCTCTATATCAGGACTCCATGGGGAGTTAATAGTTTGATCCTTCTTCATTCTGAGATATATACATACATACACATGTGCACACACACACACACATACACACACACACACACACACACACACACACACACGGCTTCATGGTCATACTTGTATTCCAACTCCTTGGGACAGCCCTAACTGACCGACACTTCCACTTGGCCTAGACCTAGGCCTCTGAAATAAAAGGATGGCAGTGAGGAGGGGTTCAAAGCCAGAGCCCAAGAATTTGAATGCTTTATAGAGCCTGGCAGAGAAGACTGGCTTTCAGAAGTGGTGAGTTAGATCACACACCGAAAGGCCTTGGCCAACAAACCATCTGGCTGGAAGCTGTACTCTTTCTTTCTTTCTTTTTTGGGGGGGGGGGGGTCCGGTCATGGGGCCTGAACTCTGGGCCTGGGCGCTGTCCCTCAGCTCTTCAGCTCAAGGCTAGTGCTCTACCACTTGAGCCACAGTGCCACTTCCAGCTTTTTTTCTTTTTGCTTATGTGGTGCTGGGGAATCGAACCCAGGGCCTCATGCATGCAAGGCAAGCGCTCTACCACTGAGCCACCTTCCCAGCCCCAGTTGTACTCTTTCTGACCAGGTAGGAAGCTGGGAAATCTCTCCCCTTCCTTCTTGTAATCTCTCGATTGTTCTAGGTCAACCTGGGAAGATATTAAAAGAGGCCCTGCAGGTTCTGAGCTACAGTATGCACATCTTTTTGACCCTTTGCCTCTCCAGTTTTGACTATGCTGTGATGCCTATTTGTGCAAGTCTATAATCCCAGCTAGGTGGGAGGTGGAGATAGGAGGATCATGGTCTATGGGTCAAAGCTGACCCAGGGCAGAAGCACAAGACCTATCTGAAAAATAAACTACACAGTGGCATGAGTTAATGAGTGACTTATTCCCAGGCTAAGGAGTGTCAGAAAAAATGCTAACTACAACAAGAAGAAAATTGGCTCATCCTGGCAAATTGCAATACATTGCTACTCAGGGCAGGTAAAACTTCATGTTGAACAGCCTTTGCCTGGAGAACACATGTGCTGGTATTTTCCCTTTCAGTTTTGGGTGAGGGGGTGGCAGTGTGTGGCATGGCCAGCTGGTCACCAGGAAGTCCAGAGACTGGCAATGAAAACATACTCCCACTTCTCTATCTTTTTGATCCTCAGCAGCAAATTTGGGCTATCTCGGATTCCAATTTTTAGATTTAGGTAATAAGTCAATAGAAATCCATGAAAGACTCCAGGCACTGTCAGCTCACAAGAGGTTGTAATCTGAGAATCCCAGCTTGAAGCCATCCTGGGCAGCCAAATACAAGAGACACTTATTTCCAATTAACTAGCAAAAAGCTGGAATTGGAAGTATGGCTCAAGTGGCAGAGCACAAGTCTTGAATGGAAAAAGCTAAGCAAAAGCATGAATAAAATATAAAAGAAAGCCCAGAGGAAGCACTAAATACAATCTACCTAAGTATATTTTGTTTTAATTAATAATTGTCTTCAAGTAGCAACACAAAAAAAAATCAATGAAATTTCTTTTTAAAAGTTTACTATGATTTAAAAAATATCTTTACTTGTATAAAGGAAATATCATTTAATAAGTTAATAAATGCACAAAAAGCATGAAGTCCTGAGTTCAAACCCCAGTAATGGCACAAAAAAGAAGAGAAGGACCTTGGAGGAGGAGGAGGAAGAATAAGAGGAAGGAGAAAAAGAAGGAAGTGGAAGATGAGGAGGAGGAGGAGGAGGAGAAGGAGAAGGAGAAGGAGAAGGAAAAAGAACAATCATAAAGAAATAGCAAACTCAAATCAGAGCTTTCCCTGTTGATTAACAGGTTATAGGCACATCTGTTTTCAGCTAGAAGAGGATACAATGTACAGGCCAGGTTCCAAGGCCTGGCCCAGAGCGGGTACCTATGAGTACCAGACACACTAAGAGGTTCCCAGCATATGCCCAGGACCAGACCTTGATCAAGGGACCTGACTCTGAAAACCAGTCTTAACAGTCCTGGTTGCATTGAAATCGGCCGTTAGAAATGCTGGTACTGGCATATACTTGCAGACATTCAGTAAAAATAGTGAACACTCAGCTGGGTACCTGTGGCTCAGGCCTGTAATCCAAGCTACTCAGGAAGCTGAGAGCTGAAGGACTCAAGTTCAAAGCCAGCCCCAGGGAAGAAAATTGTAATCTCCAATTAGGCAATAAAATGCCAAAAACTGGAGGTATGGTAGTAAAGTGCCAGCTGTGAGCAAGAAAGCCAAGCAATAGGTCAGGGCCCTAAGTTTAAACCCTGTTAAATCACCACACACACACACACACACACACACACACACACACACACACACACACACACACACACACACACACACACACCACCAAAAGCCCCACCAGACTTATCAGATTGTTACTGGATAGCTATCCCACAACATGATGCTGCAGATGTTTATTTAATATAAAGTTTTTTTCATCGTATACATTACAAGTGACTTTAATCCTAAGATTAAATCTATTTACCTTCTTGCCATATTTTCTTCCTTAACATACTTATTTTTGTGAAGTGGAGGTAGTACAGTGCCAGCCTTGAACAGAAAACCAAGTGAGAGCTCAAAGCCCTGAGTTCAAGCCCTACAAGTCACACACATACACACACACATGCACACACACACACACACACACATACACACACACACAGAATGGAACTGGAGGTGTGGTTCAAGTGGTAGAGCATCCGAATTCAAGCCCAGAACTGTCACAAATATACAAATAATATTGTTTTACTTATCTAGATTTTATGACTTTTATATTATTTCTAATTTGAGTCATAAGTTATATATACTTCCACTAGACATATGATGGGAAGTAGAATTTTGAGTTATTTTTAAACTTTTTAATTATCTTTATTTGTAAATTTATTTAAATCCATTTGCTGTTTAAGTGATTTTATTTTATTTTCAGACTAAAAATTAAAATCTAATGTGTGTTATGTATTCAAAATTTTTATTGTTTTCTCTAATGCCTCATGTTGCTTTTATTTCTAAATTTGAATTATTTCATTCTTTATACTTCCTAAAATTTTTATTGCTTGGATTAATCTTGATTTTAAATTATTTATGTGATTTATTTGCTAATTATTTTATTTCTTTTCTATTCATTTCTGGGTGGAGAAATTTAAATAGTTAGATGTTCTCTTTCTATATATGCAATTGCTAATGTTTCTACAATGTTTTTTTATTATCTGCATAATAATACTAATACTTGTTTTGCTAATATTCTCAATTATTGGAAATTTAATCTAAAGCCAAAAGTAAAAGTGTAAACTAAAAGTCCATAAGGAAATGGAGTTGTAACTTAAGTGGTAGAGAAACAGCCTTGAGTGAAAAAAAAAATGAGAGCATAGAAGCCCTGGGTTAAAAATCCCTGCACACACACACACACACACACACACACACACACACACACACACACACACACATTCACCACAACTTTATTCAATAGAGTGCCACACTGGAAGTATCAGTAAAAGCCCCCAGACTCAGTGTTGCCCATTCCTTCAGATGTAGATTCAGCATTTGACAATAGGAAATCAGTCCAGAGAAAACAATACAGAACTTGAAGATTTTTGTGAGCTTCAAGAGTGAAAAAGGCACAGAGACAAATGAAACTGTGAGAAATAAAATCTTAATTAAATTGATTAAGTCTTCATTCTCATAGACTTTTCTGCCCAGGCTGGCTTTGAACCATGATCCTCATATCTCAGCTTCCTCAGTAGCTAGGATTCCAGGTGTGGACCATCAGAGTTTAACTCCTTAGTCATTTTTTGCTGTGCAGAGGGAGGCAGGTAGAAGCTGGGGTTTGTTAGGCTTCTACTTAGCCAGTTAACCCTCAAGCAAAAAAGTAAAAAAACAACAACAACAAAAACAATGACAACAAACAACAACAAAGAAAAAAACAGGACAAATTGCATGGAAGTGAAGAAAACTATCCCTTTAAAAGTGCCATATGTTGGCCTTTTCCCTATGAGCAATGTCCACAGCAGGAGGCTGCCTGGGAAAATATCTTTTGGGGTTAGAAACTCTAATCTTGTCTCACTCACCCACCCTTGGCCAAACACAAAGCAAATGCCAAACTGCAGGGGTCACAAGATCAAAAGCCCAGGGTTATGGTTTACCTTCTGGAGATCTTTTCAGCCCCTGTCCCTGCTTCCTTCCCTTTGTAGGCTGGCTTCAAGATTATGCTAATTACCCCAGGTCCCAAGTCTCTGGTTGCCTGGTGACAACGTTTGACCACAGAGGAAGAGGAACGGGACAAACTGAGGTAAGTTTTTACCTTGGTGTATTTATAGATTTGCTTTAACTTTGCCAAACAACAATGCTTCAGACTATTCTTCCCCTCTCCTTTGAGTAAGCAACTCTGGAGAGGCCTGTACTCCTGGCTGCTTTACTGACAAAGCCCAGACACCAGCTAATGCATTATTTAAGAGGGAAGCCAAAGTGCCCTGAGCCTGGCCAGCAAAGACAGCCAGCTGGGGACAGGAACAAGGCCTGGTATTCTTAGGTCCCCTTGGGCCTTGGGTAAACTTGGGAGGAGGGGACTCCTGAAGCAGGGGACAGACTGATGATTGTCACACCTGGTTCTCTTTCTAAAGTCTTGTTGGGCAATTGCTGGGTTGCATTTTTTTTTTTTTTTAGTGAGCCTTTGTGCTCAAGGCCTAGCACTCTTGAGACACACTTCCACTTCAGGCTTTTTTTGGTGCTTAACTAAAGAGAAGAGTCTCACAGACTTTCTTGTCTAAGCTGGCTTCGAACTGTGATCCTCAGCTCTCAGCTTCCTGAGCTGCTAGGATTATAGGTGTGAGCCACCAGCACCTGGCCCATTTTTTTTTTCATTATTAATTTTTTGTGTTTGAACGCAAGACCTAATGCTCTTGCTTGGATTTTTGGCTTAAGGCTGGTGCTGTACCACTTGAGCCACAGCTGCACTTCAGGCTTTTTGCTGGTTAATTGGAGATAATGTCTCAAGGGTTTGTCCCCTTGAACCAGCTTTAAACTTGAGTCCTCAGATCTTAGTCTCCTAAGTAGCTAGGATTACAGGCATGAGCCCCTAGTACCTAGCTCTTTGGGCATTTTTGCTGTTCAGGTGAGGTTGGTGTCTGTTCTGTTTCTTTCTACTTAGCCAGTCCTCCTAAGAAACTGAAATAGACATGCTTCTTTATGCACGAAAGTCACTAAGGTAAACTTCAGCAGATCTCAACCTGGTTCCTATTAACTGCAGAGGAGTTTGGAGAATAATCAGTGTCTTAAGAAAGCTGGTAATACAATCCTTGTACAAATTATCCTGAACAACTAAACCTATTAGCAAGTGGTTTAGTCCTAGGCTCACATGGACCCTGCATGTGAACATGTGATGATATGCTTAGGAACATGTTAGAAGATTCTAGAACACACACTTCAAGTCTTGAGTTTTGTGTGACAGGCTTGGTGAGAAAAGGCAGGTCATCTACTTAATGTCTTTCAGACAAGTACTTTGGCCTCTCTAAGCCTCCATTGCACAGGAAAACAGCACATCGGGGATCCTGTAAAATGTCCATTAAATGCCTGGCCCAGGGTGGATAGCCAGCATAAAAACTGGGCACTCAGTCTAGAGGCATAAACCTCATGTTGTTGTTTTGCAAAGTGTGTGACACAAAATAGGTCCTGATACAATCACAAATTGCCTGGGTGCTATAGGAGCAAGTACAGAACAGCAGCTCTCGTGCCGTAAAATGACACTCAGAAAGGCTGAGACTCCAGCAAAGAAATCACTCGCATAGAGCTATGACTGGTCTCCAAGCCGGGGTGAGGCTGAGGTCCTGTAGGAACATGCTGAGATCACCCCAGCCCTGCAGAGCACCAGGGCACCCGTGGCTGTCTAGAGGCAGTGTGGACCAGTGCTGGTGTTTGGTACTTCAGCTTCCTGGTGGGACTCCCAGGAGTCTACCTGCTGCTAAGTACTAAGGGAGACCTCCTCCACTCTGCCCCACTTCCCAGCTGGGGAACAGCAGTGAGAAAGCCAGACAATGGCGCTTCCAGGATTCTCCTACCTCTGGAACACAAGCTTGCCAACTTTCGCCACCAACTCGATTCACTGTCAAGTTCCAATTTCCCAGTTCGATGCCAGTCTCCGACAAAGACCCTTATCCTAACCCTAAAGCAGACTCTGAAGACACACCAACACCTTCTTTGGATTCAGCATGAGCCTTGACAACAGAACTTGACCAGGACAGGACAAAAGTTCCCTCAGGCCCTCCTTCACCTCCCAACAGCATCTTCACAGTGCGTTAGGAATGTCCCTGCCAGCCCTGGGGCCAAATTTATCTAGGACTTAGTGAAGCCAAATGACCATGGGAAAGATAATGACAGACACAGGACAGACACGGGAGCAGAGCAGATGCGGGCTCTGCTGGGGCAGCATGTGACTTTGAAAAGGACAGGCCTCCATGTGTATCTCTGAAAAGGGATGCATGAATTAAATGATTTCTAATCCCAGCTACTTAGGAGGCTGAGATCTGAGGATTGAGATTTGAAAAGCCAGCCCAGGCAGGAAAGTCTGTGAGCTTCTTGTCTCCAATTAACCACCAAAAAGCTACAAAGGAGCTGTGGCACAAGTAGTAAAATACTAGCCTTAAGGACAGTGCTCAGGCCCTGAATTTAAGCCCTAGGACCAGCACATGTATACACACACATGCGCACGCACACACACACACACACACAAACACACACAAAAGAAAAGAAAAAAGAAATGCAATTAAGCCTAGAGTTTGCACTTAAAAAAAAGGAAGGACAAATATATAGAAAATACCAGGGTTGGGGCTGGGAAGGTGGCTCAGTGATAGAGCGCTTGCCTTGCATGCCTGAGGCCCTGGGTTCGATTCCCAGCAACACATAAGCAAAAAGAAAAAAACTGGAAGTGGTGCTGTGGCTCAAGTGGTAGAATACTAGCCTTGAGCTGAAGAGCTGAGGGACAGCGCCCAGGCCCAGAGTTCAGGCCCCATGACCGGACCCAAAAAAAAAAAAAGAAAAGAAAAAAGAAAATACCAGGGTTAATCAGGTGCTGGTGGCTCAAGCCTATAATCCTAACTACTCAGGAGACTGTGATCTGAGGCTCACAGTTCAAAGCCAGCTCAGGTAGGAAAGTCCGTTAGATTCTTAATCTCTAGTTAACCAGAAAACCAGAAGTGGTGCTGTAACTCAAGTGGTAGAACAGTGGCCTTGAGCACAAAAGCTCAGGGCCAGTGCTTAGGCCCCAAGTTCAGTCCCTATGACCGACAAAAAGAGAGAGGGAGGGGGTATGAAGGAAGGAAGGGAGAGAGAGAGCAAGAGGAAGAAAGAAAAAGAAAGGCAGGCAAGGAAGGAAGGGAGGGAGGGAGGGAGGGAGGGAGGCAGGCAGGCAGGCAGGCAGGCAGGCAGGCAGGCAGGCAGGCAGGCAGGCTGGCAAGCAGGCAGGCAGGCAGGCAGGCAGGCAGGCAGGCAGGCAGGCAGGCAGGCAGGCAGGCTGGCAGGCAGGCAGGCAGGCAGGCAGGCAGGCAGGCAGGCAGGCAGGCAGGCAGGGAGGCAGGCAGGCAGGCAGGCAGGCAGGCAGGCAGGCTGGCAGGCAGGCAGGCTGGCAGGCAGGCAGGCAGGCAGGCAGGCAGGCAGGCAGGCAGGCAGGCAGGCAGGCAGGCAGACACCAAGGTCCACTGGAAATTTCAGCCTGCTCTTGAGTTTTCTCTTACCTGACCACCATTCTAGAAAGGTTTCATCACCTGCTCCTACCACCTGCCCCCACCACATTTTGAATCTGTGTGGTCCCCCTCTTCCTCCACCACCTATTTAGTACCTACTACCTTTCTTGCCACACCCAGTTTGTGTCTGCCTTTGTCTCTTCTTCCTTTCCTTTCTCTTCTGTTCTTCCAGGAGATGACTAATCCTCATGCCCACTCTGAGCAGCCCTCCGGCAGCCCCTGGCCATACTCTCCCTTCTTCTGCAACTCTGTGTTCCAGATGCTTAAGCATCTTTTCCTCAAACATCCCAGGCTCTGTACCGCTCTTAGGACTTCTGTCCTATGCACATCGTCTTCTGACCAGTTCTTCCCCAAATCCTCCCATGTGACTTCTCCTTAGCAGTTAAGTGGCAGCTAAGAAGGGACTTTCCCAAGCAGCTCAGTTGACACTGGCACCCCCACACCCCTAAACTCTATTCCTAACTTGGCATTTTCTACATACTATCTCTTGTATTATTGGAAGAACATTTGCACCACTAAAAATGCTCCTTTTGTTATTTTGTTTGCTTTGGGTTTTGCTTGATTTGCTTTTCCCTCAAATGGGATATTTCACAATAAAAAACAAAGCTGCCTGCCTTGTTCACTATGTATATCCTGATGTGCACCTGAGTATAACTCATATAAAACTGTTGGAGAATGAAGGAGCAGATTGGATTGCAGCCAACTCTAGAGATTAAAAGTAGATAAAAAGTATAATTGAATCTGTAAGTTCCTTTAATTCTATTTTTTCTTCTTCTTTTTGTGCTGGTACTGAATGGGATTTCTATCCAGTTGGAGTACTGAGCCCCAGTTCCTCCAATGGATAATTATGCTGTCTTATCCCTGCCTTCCTCCCACCCCTCACAAGGCTCTCTGAAGCACTCACACTTGTCTCATCCAACCCTTGGAAAAGCAGCCATCTTGTGTGTGTGTGTGTGTGTGTGTGTGTGTATGCGGGTCCTGGGTCTTGAACTCAAGGCCTGGGTACTATCCTTGAGTTCTTGTGATCAAAGATAGCACTCTGCCACTTGAGTCACAGCTCTACTTCTGGCTTTTTTGTTAATTGAAGGTTAGAGTCTCCTGGACCTTCCTGCCCAGGCTGGTTTTGAGCCACACTCCTCAGACCTTAGCTTTCTGAATAGCTAGGATAACAGGTGTGAGCCACTAGTACCTGGCTGGAAGCAGCCACTTTTATCACCCTAGACAATGTGGAGACTGATGAATAGGAAGGCTCAGGATACTCACCAGCTCTTTTGGATGGGGACTGAGAATTTAGGTGCCAACCACCTAAAGACCATGGGCATCTCTCTGCCATACTGCTTTCCTCAGCCCTGAATCTTTGTGTGGCTAGCAGGGGAAGAGGGAATAAAACAATGTCTGTCTGCAATGGCATAACCTAAAACAAGATGGCTGAAATGGAATGCTAACACTCCCCTCTGAGGATTTAAAATGCCTATAATCCTAGCTACTCAGGTGGCTGAGATCTGAGGATCCAAGTTCAAAGTCAGCCTGGGCCAGCAAAGTCCAGGAGAGTCAT